CCCTCAGGCCCTGACCCTCAGGCCCCTGACCCTCGGCCCCTGACCCTCAACCCCTGACCTTCGGCCCCTGACCATCAGGCCTTGGCCCTCAGGTCCTGACCCTCAGCCCTGACCGTCAGGCCCCTGACCCTCAGGCCCCTGACCCTCAGGCCCCTGACCCTCAACCCCTGACCCTCAGGCCCCTGACCCTCAACCCCTGACCCTCAGGCCCTGACCCTCAGGCCCCTGACCCTCAACCCCTGACCCTCAGGCCCCTGACCCTCAGCTCCTGAGTGTCAGGCCTCAGACCCGCCAAGGAGGGCTGGTTCTGCTCATGTGGTATCTCCCCTCGCCCTGGTCCCTACTACCTGCTCCGCTTCACTCCAAGTCTGTCACAAAAAGAGGGGCCCTTTCTCCTGAATTGTGATGGGGTGCCCACTTCTCTGACGGCCACTGTCCCGTCAGGCGGTGGCCTGGCCTGGATCCCATTGTCCATGGCTACCAGCTGGCCCCCGGCTGGGCGTGCCAGTGTCCTAACCAGGATACAAACCTGCTGGGCTGGCCTGGTGGGTGTCACCGCCAGCTTGGCTCGGGCACACCTTTTGTTCTGTGTCTTGTGGATTCCATCTCTGGATGTGTCCTGAAGACAAGGGTGAAGGGTACACCTCAGGTCACGGCGTCACTCAGCAAGTCAGAGGTTGGAGGACCCCAGCAGGAAGGTGCCTGACAACAGGCGAGTGGGTCCCCAGTGACCAGGGCCACTGGAGGCAGGCTGTGCTCCCCCCCACGGCCTATGGGTCCTGAGCTGGCAGGAGGCCCAGCCTCGTTTGGCTGTGGGGCAGGTGTTTCCTTCTACTGCCTGGCGGTTTGCTTGGCAGGTCCTGAGGAGGACAGGCTGGGAGGGCAGGGGCCTCTCTCCCAGCCTGGAACAGCAGGTTCAGGGAGGAGGCTGAGCTTAACCCTGGCCATGCCAGCCTGCAGCCAACTTCCTTGGGCAATGCTTGCCTGTTCTGCAGAGGGAACAGCCCCTGGGGGCTCCAACTTCAGTGACACCTTTAGTCTAGAGCCTTGTATGGGGGATGCTTCGGGAGGCATGGCTTGGGGGTCCTGCTCAGACAGCGGTAGCCAGTATCCCCCAGACCTTTCCAAGTTGGTAGGGGAATCCCTTGGGTGCCAGCAGCCCTCCTGACCACAGCTTTGCCAGGAGCGTGAGCCAGACCCTCCCAGAAGCAGTGGGGAGGGAGGCTGGGTGCAAGCCCACCCCCTGAGCCCTCCTTGGTCCCATCCTGCCCTGGCCCTGGAGGAAGGTGACCTGCAGCCAGCTGGAGCCCAGCCCCACACTGAGCTGCCGAAACCCTTAAGCTGGGAGGAAGCTGAGGCTGAGGCTACCTGCTGCCAGCCCCCCAAGGTTGCCAGGCCACTGCACCCACACAGGGCCTGCAGTGCTGCCCACTCCGTTTCCTGAGGGACTGCCCCTCAGGCCAGGCCAGCCCCACTGCTGCCTCTGCCTCCAGCACCTGTCCACCCTACCTGTCCCATTCCCAGGGCAGGCTGTCATGGCTCCCAGAATCGCAGTGCCCAAGGGCAAGTGAAACATTGGCTTCAGGCACCCTGAGGCCCTGCCCCCCACCCTCACCTCACAGTCCCACTGTGAAGTCAGCACCTTCTGACAGTTCCGTCAGAGGTGGGCAGTGGCCAGGGCTGGACATGGCCCCCGGTCTCTGGCCTCGGTCCTGCCTGCGTGGCAGCGCCCTGGGCCTCACATGCTTCTCCGTTCTGCTCATCCCTGCTGCAGGTACCGCCTCCTGCCGTGCACCCCGCACCCAGCCAGGGTTCCCCTTTCCCAGGCAAGGCAGGAGCACTGGTGTCCTTCTGGGGGCCCCCAGGGCAGGGGCAGACCTGGGGGCCCTCCTCAGGCAGGTGACCAGCCCCGCGGCCATGTGGCCCTGTCTCTGCAGCTGGAACCTACTGTGAATGCAGCCTTGGCCTCAGCCGCGAGGCCCTCATCGCCCTCCTGGTGGTGCTGGCGGGCGTCAGCGCCAGCTGCTTCTGTGCCCTCGTCATCGTGGCAATTGGCGTCTTGCGGGCCAAGGGGTGCGTGAACCCGGGGGCCAGGAGTGAGTGGGAGCGAGGCCAGGCTTTCCACCCTGGGCCCTTAGTCTTGCAAGAGGGGCCTTTGCCCCCTGGGTGGGATGTCACCTAGGGCAGGAATGGTGTTTCCCAGACATGTGCTGGGAGAGGTCCGGGGCCCAGCGCTCTTCCAGGACTCATGTTGGCCTTCATCCGCTCAGTGAAACATGCCCGAGACTACAGAACAACAGGTGAGCACTGGAGAGGCCCTGGCGGGGGTGCGCTGTCCCAGGGGAGGAACTGGGGGGGCACACTGTTGCAGGGGAGACCCTCGAGGGGGATGGTGTGCTGTCCCGGGGAGGCCTGGGGAGGTGCTGTCTTAGCGGAGGCCTTTGAGGGGGGGTGCTGTTCCAGGGAGGCCCTGGGGGGGGTCTGTCGCAGGGGAGGTCCTTGAGGGGGGCGCCGTCCCAGGGGAGGCCTGGGGGTGGTGCTAAGGGGAGGACCTCAAGGGGGGTCACTCTTCCAGGGGAGGCCCTGTGTGGGGGGCTGTCCCAGGGAAGGCCCTCAAGGGGGGCGCTGTCCCAGGGGAGGCCCTGTGGGTGGGGGTGCTGTCCAAGGGGGGACCCTGTGGGGGTGGTGCTGTCCCAGGGGAGGCCTTGGGGGAGCACGGTTCCACATGCTGGCCTGCTCTGGGCGGGGAAGGGAGGGTCAGGGCCCCACCAGCCTGTGCTGACCCGGCCCCTGTCATGCAGGTTGGTGGAGAATTTTGGGGTCCAGGAAGATCGCATGGACCTGCATCCAGTATATGTGGAGTCCCAGCTGTTGGACACTGACCTGGAGGTCTCCGTGATGCCCCCACTGGAAGATGAGAGCCTCGTGGCCATCTCCGTGGAGGCTACCCCAGAGCCGCTGCCACCCCCACCCCTACCACCTGAGTAGGGCTGAGGCAGCGGGGGGAGGGAAATAAACCGTATTTAGTGGTTGTGCACTGTCCTCCCTGCAGGCTCTCACACCCCTCAAGGCTGCATCGTGGGGGGTGCACTCGCCTATGGGTCTCATCAAAGTGGGCGCCCAGGCCCACACCAGGTTCCCTGTTCCTCTGCCCCAGGACAGGAAACCACACCCCCAATGTGTTTCTACCTTCTCTGCCACAGCTGGTCAGTCCGGCTCCTCCCGGCACCCTGCTTTTGAAAGCCCCTAGAACAGGACCTGCAACTGACAGCTCCGGAGGCCGCTGGGTTTAACAGGACTTGGGCTGATGCCCCATCCCCACTCCACTGGCAGCGCCCCAGGCGGTCCAGAAGAGTCCTGGGGGGAGGGAGGGAGCGGGCATCCTCTCCTGCCTGGGTGTGCTGTCTCCCTACACCCCAAGGCCTGTGTCCAGTTCGGGCCCCATCCACCATGGGAACGGACCATCCCTGCTTGGAGCCACTCAGCAGGTGCACACTGGGCTCACTTTGCTGAGCCTGAGTGGGGCCGAGGCCGGTGAGGAGCAGGACCTCTGGGCTACGTTGTGTGTGGGTGCCGGTGGCAGCCATGAGGTCGTCGGGTGCAGGTGGGCGGCGTCCTGCTGCTCAGGGCTCGGCGGGCGCCTGGTGGTGAATCAGGCGGGGCGAGGTGGTCCCAATAGTGCTGTGGCCGGCGCCGTGCCAAGAGCAGTCTGGAGCTCCGGGACAGGTGGCCGGCGGAGCTGGGCGTTGGCTGTTTGCCCCGCCCCCGCCCCAAGCGTGGATCCAGCCGTGGGACAGGAACTGCCTGCACTCGCGCCAGAGAATATTTGTACAGGCGCCGCAGGAACGCGCTCCGCGGACGACAGGCTCCGGGGACACACAGGCAGCGGGCCTCCCACCGCGGGTGCCGGGGGGCTGCCCCCATGCAGAGTTCCTCCTGGTCGCGGCCTCGGCCGCCGAGGCCGCCGCTGCTGCCGCTGCTGCTGCTGCTGTCGCTGTCGCCTTGGCCTGTCTGGGCCCAGGTGTCGGCCACGGCCTCGCCCTCGGGGTCCCCAGGCGCCTGGGACTGCCCCGAGGTGTGCACGTGCGAGCCGGGCGGCCTGGCCACCTGCTCTGCACTTGCGCTGCCCGCTGTGCCCGCGGGCCTGAGCCTGCGCCTCCGCGAGCTGCTGCTGGACCACAACCACCTCCGCGCGCTGCCACCCGGTGCCTTCGCGGGAGCGGGCGCGCTACAGCGCCTGGATCTGCGCGAGAACGGGCTGCACTCGGTGCACGTGCGAGCCTTCTGGGGCCTGGGCGCGCTACAGCTGCTGGACCTGAGCGCCAACCAGTTGGAAGCGCTGGCACCCGGGACCTTCGCGCCGCTGCGCGCGCTGCGCACCCTCTCTCTGGCCGGCAACCGGCTGGCGCGCCTGGAGCCCGCGGCGCTGGGCGCGCTCCCGCTGCTGCGCTCACTCAGCCTGCAGGACAACGCGCTGGCGGCACTGGCGCCGGGGCTGCTGGCCCGCCTGCCCGCCCTAGACGCGCTGCACCTGCACGGCAACCCCTGGGCCTGCGGCTGCGCGCTGCGCCCGCTGTGCGCCTGGCTGCGCCGGCACCCGCTGCCCACGTCAGGTGAGCTGTCCCGGACGCGGGGCGGGGTCTGCGGGGCGGGGCGGCCGCCACCGCCTGACGCCGCGCCTGTGTCCGTGTCCCTCAGAGGCCGAGGCGGCGCTCTGCGTGTGGCCTGGACGCCTGACGCTCAGCCCGCTGACTGCCTTCCCCGACGCCGCCTTCCGCCACTGCGCGCAGCCGCTCGCCCTGCGGGACCTGGCCGTGGTCTACACGCTCGGGCCGGCCTCCTTCCTCGTCAGCGTGGCCGCCTGCCTGGCTCTGGGCTCCGTGCTCACCGCCTGCAGCGCGCGCCGCCGCCGCCGCGCCGCCGCCCTCCGCCGGCCGAGGAGACCGCGGGACCCAGACTCCGATCCCGACCCCCACTGCTCGGTCCCGCCCGCGGACCCGGGGATCCCCGCCGCCGCCGCCGCCCGAGCCTGAGCAGCTGCGGCCGCCTTGGGCGCTGGAAGCTTCTTCCCCAACGCCTTTGCCCTCCCTTTACTCTCTGTCGGCGTCAACAAGCGACACAGACCGAAACCTGCGTGACATTCCTTTAGGCATCACCACTGCATACACCGGGAGGTGGGGGGTGGAGGGGCAGAGCGCGCCGCGCATGGGCCGCACGGGGAAGGCACGAGCTCGGGCCCTGGGAGCGCTGGTCCTGTACAAGGTGGCGGGCCGGGCACGCACCCGGAGCGAGGGCGGGGGCGGGCGGGTGGCGCTCTCCTGTGCCAGGGTGCAGGGCAGGGTGGAAGACAGTCCCGAACCAGCGTCCGGGGAAGCCCGTTCTGGGCCGCAGGCCGGACAAGGAGTCGAGGGGGTTGGCCCTCTCGAGTCCGGAGGAGGAGGAGGAGACTGCCCGAGGCGGCGGGAGCCCGAGCGCCTCCGGGAGGCGCTGCCGGCCGGGAAGTCAGGGACGGCCATAGGGGGACGGCAGGGCCAGCCCCGGCGTGAAGGGTCAAGGGGAAGACGGGGCGTGGGTGGGCGGTGCCGCAAGAAGAGGGGAGGGTGGAGCTCAGGCTGCAGAGGAGCGCTTGCGCCCGAGGAGGGGCGACCCAGCCAGCTGGGGCCGTGGGCCCCGCTGTGGCTCAGGCTGGTGCTGCGGGAAGGATGGAGCTGCCGTCTCTGCTCCAAGCCCCTCCGCCTGGGGCCACGTAGCTCCCTCTCCCCACTGCTCGGAGACCCCAGGGCCCTGCCTCTGCCGGAGCGCCCTGCGGCCCTGCCCAGCCGACTCAGCTCTGCCCCTTCCTCAGCCGCGCCGGTCCGCACCTCGGTCCAGCAGGGGCTGCCCGCCAGGCAGCGGGGCGGGCGGGCGGACGGACGGGAGGCCCAGGGTGGGCAGTCTCTGGGGCGGGTGGGCTTCCCTCAGGCCTTCCCGAGCAGCAGGACCCATCAGTGTCCTTGGCCGGGCTAACTGGGCAGGTGGGCGCCTCCGGGGGCCTCACACCACGGTGCTGACCGAGGGATCTGAGAGGTTGAGCGGGCCCGTGATATCAGTGGGATGGTACTGCTGCAAAATAGAAATACACAGACAAGGCGCCCGTTAGCCCCACGCCGGGGGCACGCGCGGGGCCGGGACGGGGTGGGCCGGCCAGCCGGCCAACCAGCGGGCGGGCAGGCGCAGCCTGGGGGAGGCTGGGGGTGCTCCTCCCCCGACCCCGTGGTGCTCCGGGGCTCTGCGTGGGCCGGGCCGCTGTCCCGTCCGTCTGTCTGTCTGTCTGCGGGGGAGGGGGCAGAGGAGGGCGGGCGGGGAGTCTCAGCTCTCCCTATGACGGGAACACAGCTGCAGCTGGCCCTCCTCCCTCTCAATAGCGCGTCGCGGCAGCACTGTGTCTTTTTGGTTTTGCAAAGCGCCGCGTCCACCCCCGGTGCTCTATAAATAAGAACCAACAATCAATACCCGCTGGCCCCGCCGGCCGCCAGGGACCCCAGCCCTCAGCGCCCAGTGCCGCCCTGGCCCGGACCGGCCACAGGACGGGGCAGAGGATCTCCGCAGCCGGACTGACCCCACCCTGCCCATAGGAGCCCCCCACCCAGGCCTCCCTCTGAACAAGCTCACAGTCCCAGAGACCAGGTGGGAGGTGGGCTGCCCTCCCCTGCCCAGACCCCCAGCTGGCAGTGCCCCCCACAGTTCAGCCTCGCAGGGTGGGGCCAGCCCCAGATGCCATGTGATGCCAGGGCTGGCCCCAGAGGACGATGTCTGGTGCCCAGGGAGGCTTGGGTGAGGGTTCCGCTGGGAACATGTTCCTGGGAGGGCACCATGAGGGTCTCTGAGCTGCACCTGGCCCAGCTCCAGGCAGGGCCCTGGGACCCAGTGTCACCCTCTGAAAGTGACCCATCACCTGCAAGACGTTTGTGCTTGCCCCCCCACCCCGTGGCTGTCTGTCCCAAATTGCTGCTTCCCCTGTCTGCTCTTCCCTGGACACCCGCTCTTCCCCAACCTGCCCAGTCCACGGTCCCTGCGCTATTCCCCCTCCCTGCTCCCTGCGCCCTCTAGCGGGACTCCTGGCTCAGACGCTGCAGCATTGGCTTTGCCCGCTTTCCAGGGCACGGGTGGCCCCAGGAATGGTGCTTCCACCTGCTCCTTGAGCTTCCAGTGGATCCCAGCCCTACAGGCTCTCGCTGTCCACCCGTCCTGCATGCCGAGTCCCTTTCCCGGGAGGCTGAGCAGCCAGGCCTCAGGGTCCCTCTTGCGGCACCCTGGTGGCTTCACCTTGGCACTTGGGTTGCTCGATGCCAAGTCCTGTCTGTGCCCTGCAGTCCTGCCCCACTTCCAGTGCATTGAGGGGCGGGTGACTGCAAATCCCACTTCCTCATGGGGCTTAAGCTTTGTGGTGATGCTGCCTACAGGCTGGGGGGCTTCCTGCGGGCCAGACTAGCCCCTGGACTTCAGGGTGGCCACTGGGTTGAGGATTTCTGGGCAGAGCCCCTCCCCACCATGCTGCCTGGGCCTACGGTGCTGCTAGCAAGGCTGGGTCTGCTCTGGGGGCCTCTGGTCCGAGTGTGTGTATCCCACGCAGCCACAGCTGCTCCAAGCAGGAGGTAGGAGAATTCTGAGCTCCAAAGGGCAGAAGGCCTGGCTCTGTGGGGTGGGCCCTGAGGGGTGGCTGGGGTCAGGAACTGAGGTGTTCGTCTCCCTTCCAGAGGCCTCCCTGTCTGGGAACCTCAGTGTCTGCAGGCCAGGGATTATGGGGTCGCCCCTACCCGTTCTCAGACCCTCTGGGAGCTGCCGCCACACCTCCTGGGGGGCCCCTGCTCAGCCTGGGGTGGGAGCCACCCCTTCTGGTCCCACCCCGCTCCCTGCCTGACAGGCCCCTGTGGCCAGTTCCAACTCCAGGCCCCAGCCGTCCACCCAGATGGACCCAGGCCCGGCCCCCAGCCCCCGGCCCACACAGAGACCACATGGAAGATGCGACACGCATGGCTCTGGTGAGACAGGTG